TACACGGTTTCCCATCGCCATGTCTTCCACGGTGCTTTTGTTGAACACGGTTAAACGATCCGCCTTCCCCCGTTCAGATGTTGCTCCCTGTCTCCCTCATTTTTCCCCTCTTCCGTTCCCCACACTCTCCTGTTCATCTTCGTCCCGATTACATAATTATGCATTTGCCTTTCTCGGCCCAGGGATTGTTTTTCTTGTCGGGCGCGTGTATCAGCGGGTCAGTCTTCTCGTTTTCTTCGACGTACTCCCTCATCCTAGAAAAAGATGAACGAATATGTCAGTTAGTCTTCCTTCTTTTGTTCCACTTTGGTACGAAAGTAAGTTGAAACGAACGATTAGGCGAAAATTTCAATGAAACGCTCAATGATAGAATAATCCTCATTTAATTGGAATAAGTGATTTATTTCACAACATGGCTTGTGAACTGCCCTTAAAATGGATAATGATGCAATTCGAGTTGCCTGTTTTTCCAATTGAAATTTTTTACTACGCTCTGAGAAGGTTTATCTCCTTGGCAGTTCAACGGTTAACCCCTTGTCCTATAATACCGTGTTAGACTCATGATGAGAGTTTTAACTTGAACTCGACAAATCGTAATTTTAATTGTTTCCTTTGAATATTAATTAAATATTACTGTTATATTATCAACCGTTGAACTTCACAGCAAACGTAGACATAAAATAAATATCAAATTCTTTTCTTTATTCTGAGAAATTATCAACGATAAAGCGGTTTCCTGAAGTTCGGTTGTTAAAGAAATCATAAGACAAGGGTTCAGTTGAAATATACGTGAAAGTAACAAACATCAGTCTCACCGTAGGAATCGATGCTAAATCTGCAATTCTTTTCACATTTAGATTATTTAAATAACTAATTATGTAAGACAGACTGAATATAGACCTAATCAGAAATCAATTGGAGTCTTGGTTGAGTTTGGACTAATTAATTAATTAACTAAACCGTAACGATTAGATAAAGTTACCAAACTGTACGTTTATCGAGGCAACACTTAATTTATAATTTTTAAACACTTTGGCATGAAGAAAAAGGTAAAGGTAAAAGGTAAGTTTGTAGTTGTAATGCAAAACTATAACAGTTTCATTGACTCCAAATGATAATAAAATGAATAAATAAGTAATGCGTTGCTTAAGCTAAATGAAGCGAATTATACACAGCAAGCAATTACAGTATTTCCTGTTGACAGACTTCAAACTTTACTGATTAAAGAAAATTACAATAAATCACATTACATCATACCCATATACCCTTATTCCCCGATGAGCTATCGATTGTCGCGTAACTCAAGGTGCACTCGGACCAATGATAAAGACGCAATTGCAATTACCATACGTTACAAGTATAACCAGCTCGTAATCAACTGAATTACAGGTATTCCGTTTATAAAACACGACGAGGGAATTCGAAGAACGCGCAATGACCTATTATCATCAATCCTGAGAAGTGATCCGCGAATTCCTGCGGCGGATCCTGCAGGGCGCTCGGCCATCCAAGATGGCGGCCGCGAGCGGTACAGAAATGTGATTCGAATCTGAAATAAATTATGAAATCGTTTGGAAATCAGTTTTGCGAGGCGTAGGATTGCTCTGAATGTAACAAGGTTACAGCGACGCGAAGAAAATCACGGGGAATCGAATAAGGAATAGTTGGCCGCTGCGAACAGCTCGGTGAAAGGGACTCGGCCCTCCTCGGGCCGATTTTGCGTTCAAGGAGAGCTCTGTGTGCTGAAGGAACGCGCTCGCGCGCCTGTCTTATTACAGGCAGCCGATTTTTCGTATTTTCTTGCCGCGCGTTTTCGAGCAGAGTGTAATCGATTACACGTGCCAACGGTTCGCGTAGTTAATCTCGATGAGCGAATTGGGAAAAGGAACGGATAATGTAAAAACGAGGAGAACCGATGTTTCATCTATTGACATTGTCATATTCTAACATGATTTACGAATGTTTCTGAAATCGTTGTTTGTTCGATTATAAATATTTGTAAAAGAACGTGAGTTAAGGAAATCGTGAGTAACCACGTTGAAGAGAATTAACCTTTCCGAAATGTTAAATGTTTCTTGACCGCGGTTTATGAACGCTGGTAACGCCGCCGCTAAGAAATGTCTCGCGATCTAGTTAGACAACTTACGATTTAGCAGAAAATGCAAGAAAATTATAGGCTTTCACTTATCGTTTTATATTAGACACGAATGTAGGTTAACGACCTGCTACCGTTGCCACTATGATTTTCGTTGTTCGTTATTTCATAGAATGTTTTCTCTTTTTCAATGGCTCGCTGGCACTGTTTTACCGTCTGGTAGTGTTCGAACGATCAATTGTTTGTTCCCGTGAAGAATTAAATTTCTAAATTTAATTTGTAGTTTTCTAGATAATTTTACGCTGTAAATGTTTCGGTACATCGGCGATAACTTTTTTTTATGTGACTGTATAGTATTGTATTCGTTAAACACGTAAGCACGTACAGGTCGTTAGCGTTCATTGTTCGTGTCAAAAGAATGCAAACGATATGCTTCATTAAGAAAACAATAATTACAATTTCTAAGATGATTTGAGGAGTTTTATATAAATATTATTAGTTTATACAATAAAATATAAACTCGTAACATTAGCGAAAAATAACCTGAAATTACTTATAAGTCACTATTATTTATGAGCATGTAAATGCCCAAGTATTTTATTATGTAAATAGCTCTTATTCTTCGAATTTATTCTTCTCACAGATATTTGAGTTTATTAAAACTTTTGCTTTTAGGTAAGTTCCATGAATCGCAAAGTGTCGAGAATGTTATTTCTTTACACCCCGTACGGGCATGAAAGCGATATCCTAACAAGAATTTCAGCACATATTATAGAAACCAACGGAAAAGCTGCAGGTGGTAAATGTGAAAGGTCAGTCATTGCAAGCAGTTGGCAAAGTGGTAAACTTGTTACTCTAGAAAGAAACTTCTACTGTTTTTGAAATAATTTTGAATAAAACCAACAAGCCCATAAAAAACTGTGTGATATCGGTAATAATCTCTTTTCAAATAAAAGATCTTAATATTTCAGTGCATAGATACTTATTTCCAAGTAAGTAAATTTACTATTTTACGTCTTTTTTTTCTTATATTCAATATCAGTCTTCCTTTCTTATTACTTTCTTGTTAAATAAAATGAAAAATAACACAGAACCCTTTTATAAAATACAAAAACGATAAATTAGTGAATCAAGCAATAAATATAATGACAATTTTTTTCCTTTGAATAATCATTAATTTTACTTACTTCTTTCTTATATTTAAAAATGAAACGAAAAAAGCGACCTTCTACTCCCACAGAAAATATCAAAGCGATAAATAAAAAATGTATAAATAAACGTATTAACATTTTTCTTCGTAGTAATCATTCGTCCCTCTTATCTTTTACTAACATTCCAAACGAAACGAAATAAATATATTTAACTGTATTAGAAAGTATCGAAACGATACATATATTTATTTGCCAATAAATAAATAAGCGTATTAGTCACTTTTTGGATTAGAGCAGCTATTCGTTCTTCTTCTAATTTTCATTTCAAATAATATGGAAGAATAAAAGTGAACCTTGTTAACAGTAAACGTACCGACACTTTCCCGTTTGCCTATTCCTACCGTAACCAGTCGAATAAGTGATTATAAAATAAAGGTAAACAAATTACCTTTGTTTGAATTGATTGTAAAAATTGAAAAACTGATCACTCAGACTATGTAGATTTTGTTATACAGTTACGTGTACAAGAGAAAACGCAAAGTTTTTAATGAAATTTTCAAACTGGTCATTCGATCGGCCGCGGTACGTTTAGTGTTAAATATCAGAAGAACGAAGGATATCACTTCTGACGAAGATTTCTCGATCGTGGAACGTGGCAAAGGGAAAACGCGATGGAGGAGGATACGATACACGCCACGGGGGACAGTGGCGCGAGCGAAAGATTAGTTTGATCGGAAAGGGGGGAAAAAATGGTTGGTACCTTTCACTCCGGCACTCTCCGAGTAGTCGACCGCGGAAACTTTTTGCTTTCAGGGTACGATTCGCCTCGAAAACCGCAAGACCGGGATAACTCTGCCGGTCGAACGCAGTTCCGCGTTGTTCCGCGCGTTGTTCCGCAACCGGGAACACTATCGAACTTCCCATGTGTTATTAAACCCTCGTTGCCGATGCATCATCGCGATAGGTCCCGTGTAAACTCGAATTCCAGTTCGACACGCGGTACCGTTCGGAACGCCGGTCTAGATAAGGATCTCCTTTCTTTCGCTGCCCGCCGACGTCACCCAAATTTTCATCAACCTCCCATTTTCCCAGCACTTTCCATCGGATGAAAAGTTGGACGATTCGATGGATCTTCTGAGATCTTATCCAATGAGCCATGCAACTACAGTTAATAACCAATTTTTGCTTTTCCTATGGCTTTCAGCGGTCCATGAACGATATTCATCAATTTTTGCTGACTACTGAATCATAAAATGAAAGAATATTTTTCTTTGTTGTTCTTCGTTAGTGAGAAATTTAATATTGCAATTGAATAAAATGATGAATTTTAGAAATTCAGTTTATTCAGTAGAAAAGTTATGTCTGCAATTTGACAATTAGTATTCCAGTTATTTATAATAATAATTGTTGTTAAACATTCTTATTAATGTGAATTGACACTGTGCAGTGGAATATTGAAGTTGTCATTAATAATCTTGTTATTAATAATTTTCCAACTAAGAAATAACTTACATATTTTAGAAATATATATAATTCACTGTAAGAATGAAATATTTCATTGAAATTGACAAATTTTTGGATTTTTATTCTCTAGATTCAAAGAAATTTATTAAGACTGGAAACCGCAATTTACCATATCAAAGATGCAAGTAATGCACACTAATACTGGATACAACGATCGCCTAAAAAACTTTCATTCATGTGTTCGCCTTTCCTTTTATTCCTTTTAACTGACGTTTAGTAAATTGGAGCGAACTTTCTATTGTTTGCTGATATTATGTCGAACTTTCTTACACCGGTTTACGTTGTAGTAAACAGGTTGATGAACTTAAATCTCGTATCGTTACTTACTCATGATTTCTCGAATTTTAAAAATTTCTAATAATACATTTACGAAAAGTTATCAAATATTAGTTTCAATATAAGCATGCTTTTTCTAAATCACTTTAATAAACATTTATTTTTAATTGATTTATTTATCCATTTATTTAATTACTGGTAATTCACTTTTCTGACTTACTTCCTTCAATAATATAGAATTAAGAAATTTCAATAAAACATTTTGTTTACCTTTATTTCAGCTTCTTAAAATGTAAATTTCACGCAATTAAATTAAAAATTAATTTTTGTTATTTTACAGTTGAAATTTACGTTTATATTGAAACAAAAATGGTAGTATCGATCATCGGTAAAGCAGGTACCTAACATTTTTAATTGAATCTGAAATTTTAATTTAATTTTTTAGATTTAACAAAATTAACCAAGATCACTATTTTCTTGTTGCGTGTTACCCATACAAATTTCAATATACAGTTAAATTTCAAAAATAATTTTGGCCTCAAGTAAAAGTTACACTATTCACGTTAAAATCCTTTGGCTGACATGTCTGATGTCTTACCAAACAATCATCCGTCAAGAAAAGAAAATCGTGAAATTGTTGCGGTAATCCTTTGTCTTTTCTGATTCATCCGTAGCCCCTAAGGTAATCACAGGCGATTTTCACTTCTTATTAAGCCGGTATCTAAGAAATTTTTTCTTATTTCGAGGTCTTGTCCATTACACAACCGTGAGAATTTAATCTTCTGGGAAAACAATGCGTGCCCACATAATTTTAGACGTCGAATTACTGCGAGGGACATTGTAAATTGCGAGAAACAGCATCCCCTAAACGGTCTGACTTTGCTATTCAATCGACAGATTCAAGATAACTCCTGCTGATGATGTAAAATTACGCTTGTTGCGTGCCCAATCATCCTAAAATTAGAAAAATTGCAGTCACCTTGCAGAATTCGAAAAATTATGCCCTTCTTTTTATTAAACCCCACTATACATTACATAGCAGACATAAATCTGTGTAAAAACCGAATTTTCAAACGTAAACACAAAATTGCTTAAGTAATTTTCAAAAAAACTACCATCATCAACTTGAAATTAATTTTACTAATCGATGATCGCGTTACTTAAGAATAAGAATTTATAAAAACAATCGATTAGTAAGTAACTTTTACACCTTACTAATTACATTCCAACTGTTCCTTTTTACGTAACAAATTATACAGCTTTTTCCATGTAAAATGGGAATAAGAAAATCATATTGTACTCAAGAACAGGAGAGAGACGGATAAAAATATTTCACATTCAACACTGGGACTAGAAAATATCTATATGTTACATATCTAACGTTGTACATGAAAATAAACAGGAAACAGAAGAGGAGGTTTTACACATCGGAATAGAAAGAAAGGAAAATTTCATGAGTCAACAACCCCCATCCTCCATCTTCAAGCCCAGAAATCTTTACGGTGTTATCGGAACAGTTACGATCGTCCAGACTAACATGAAAGGTACGCGAGCTCCGATATTGAATGTCTGAAAGTGATCGGTGCGCGAATATGCGATTAACCGACACTCCACGTCCAAGGAGAGCCTGTCCAGCCGCGGCCTGTGTAATATGGGAACGTCGCGCGTCGGTGTAATTCAGCCTTGGCTGTTAATTGCTGGCCGCGTGTGGTGGCACCACGCGCCATGCCACTTACGTCGTCATCCACTCGTTTTTTGTCAATTCCCCGATTCGTCTAACAATTAAGGATCGCAATCACGTTGCCCAATATACTTTAATACCTTAACTGAGTCAACGGTGACCCGTTCCAGGCTTTTCATCCGGGTCGTTGGCCAGTGAGGATGCAGCAACATGTCCATACGGATTCTAATCAGTTTCAGTACTTAACACTAGGTTTACGAGCATTTATTCTATCGTTTATTTTATTGTTCCTAGAAAAATTGATGTTCACTTGGATATTGGTAATCAGAGATTTAAGAATAGACCGTTAGAACTGTTAAATTAGAACCGAGATGAACGTTTACCAAGTAATGTTTATAAAATCCAATGTGTGAAATTGATGTGTTACATAAACCTAGTGGTAAGCCCTTAAACCCTTGCAGTAGAGTGACATGTCAGACTCATGGCGAAGGATTTCAACAGAATTTGATAAGCATAAATTTTACTCGATTCTTTTGAATTCGAATGAAATATTCTTTTATTGCCGATGGTTGCACTTTACAGCAAACATGGACATAAAATATGCTTAGAATGTTTCTCTTTTTCCAGTGGAGTACCAATGGCGAAATAGTTGTGGTTGAAAAATAAATCATAGGGTAATGGATTCGCCTATTAGTTCACGTTGACCACTAAATCGAAACTCAAAAAATTATTTATACAATGAAAAGAGTTTTTACACAAATAGCAATAAAGGATTACATATTCTTAATTTTTATTCAACGGATAAAAACGATTTATTTTTAAAATGTTAATCGATAGTGTTAATTTGCATTGTTTAATTGAACTTGATAAATTTATAAACACTAACCCTGACGTTCAACGTAATGGTTACGCATAATAAAATTACGTACACTCAAATAGTACCAAAAATTTACTACCGCAAAGTTACATTAAATAAAACACAAACTACAAAGAAGAATGACAACCTATAAAATTTTCTAAATATAACAGCACACTGTTACTAAATAACACGGTCCATAAATAGCACACCAAAGTTATTAAAATATCAACAGCCATCAATAACACCCCAACGTCGCGTCTAAAACGAAACCACAGAAGAGTTTAAAGGGAAAAATCAAAAGAGTACAAGAAAATCATAGCTTACCAGACGTTTCTCTCGTACATCAATTAACAACACGTTTCATGAAAAATACACGATTAAGAAACCATAATATCACGGTAATGCCACAATACACAAAGTAAATGACGAATAGATAAAATTTCACGATAGGGAAAAAGAAAAATCGTATTTGCCGATTCCTGCACGCAAATGTCACCGTCTCGTGCACCATAAGAAGCTTGGGTGTTACAGGTACTATAAACAAAAAATTAAATAAAACAAAAAGTAATGCGGGCTGGTAAAATGCGTAAACTGTTTTTTCAAGGTATTTATATGTGAATGAAGTCGTTTGGTGAACTTACGCTGCAATACTTTTCGACAGGGGCCATCGATCCATGCTGACCTGGTACTTCATGTTCTCGATCTGCTTCTTCAACGCGTCCTTGTCCATGTTGGCGAGTACACTGGGATCCATGGTTATAGCCGCGCCTCTCTTTCGCCAGATAAGAGCCGAATAGCGCTTGCGCCTCTACGAAAAATCAATAGGACTGTCTCTGTATGGGGGCTCCTGTTAATGGAACACCGAACTATGTACGTCAACGGCAGGCAACAGGAAATTTGATTCTGTTGGGGAAACTACAGGAACCACCCTCACTTCTTCGTCAACCTTCGTCAACCCCTTAAGATTCGTCTAATAAATAATATCATGTTTGTTATACGCGATCTTAAGCTTCATCCTCCCCTTAAAAAGGACACAGCGAAAATTAATCTCTATTTGGATCGAAAACGACCTTAGAGCTTAATCAAGGTTAACCAATTTGCATCATCTAATTATATGTAAAATATTCTCTTAACGTTAAACTTCTTTTCCTTGATTACATTTGAATCAGTAACGCGTATAAATGAGTAATTCGTAATAAATAATAAATAGTAATAATATGATAATATAATAAATAATAAATAGTAATAATATGATAATATAATAAATAATAAATAGTAACAGTAGTGTAATGATATGGTAATGTTGAATGATTATTCATTGTCAATATAGATTCATTGTTACAAGAAATGTAGATTTACGAAGAACACAGAATCAATTTTGTTTTTAGCAAATTAATAATAATGGGATACCGATTGTGAAATTATAAGGCAAAGAATGAATGAAAATCAGTATTATTTACTAGTTAAAATTAGAAGACTGTAGCTGAACTGTGAAGATAACTGTACACTAGGAAATTGTACTGCATAGACAGGATTCGGTATTTTTTTAAGAAGACGGAAGAAGATAAAGAGTTTTATAGGCTATTGTTCCATAGCGAATATTTCAGTACTATTTCTCTTTAGATACGCTTATTAACTATAATTATAGAGAACCATTTGTTTCATTAAGAAAGCGGATGTTTATTAACTAGGTCATCAAATTCTTAACTTCACACATTTTTTCTGCATTAACTGTAAAAACTATAAAAATTGATCATTACAGAAAACGATACTGCAAACTCTCCCAATTAAAATGACATATATTTTGATGGCATTAATTGATGAACACTGCATCATGGATTCTGTTTCCGATTGAGAAAATAAAATATTTCCGTGAGGCATGGGATACCGTCAGTGATTCTTAACGTCAACAATCAGTTAATACTCCAAGAAGAGTTAAGCGCAACACAGCTGTTCCAAGCGAATTACATAACTTACTTCACTGTTATATTACTTTACCTAGAATAATTTATACAATCATTTTTTGAGACGAACAGTGCATACCTTTCACAATTAACGAGTACAATATACATATAATAAAGAATTTAATCAGTCCTTCAAAATAAATTTCTTAACAACGAACAATAATGAAAATAAACGGTTTCATTCAATGCCCCCAAATCTACAAGAATCATATATTTAATGTTGAAATATAAAATATGTGCTGTATAGTAGGAGTACCATTAAATAAAACTATGCAAAAACGAGTGACGATAACAAAACATCGTTTTATTCAGACTTCGTTAACACGTGTCTACTATTTATAGGTTGTTTCTTGATAGAAAACCTGGAGTACACGTTGATGGTCATAATAACTGTCCATCCCACTACATAATCACAACACGTGGGTGATAGAAGTGGGACGAACAACTATTATGATGTTCGATATATCTCTTCCTTCTTTTCAGAAACAATGTATTACAATATGCATTTAAACGAGTCAAGTTCATTATTCATCGTGTAAACGACGGGATATTTTTGAGCGACAATGTGGTTTATATTTCCAGTAATCAACATCTACGTGTTTAGACAAAAATTTATGACTTAAGTATATAAAATATAGCCCACTTTCACAAAATAAATGTAAATGTAAATATAAATGTAAATATAAATAAGCAAAAATTTCCAGAAGAGTTCAGTGGTTAAAAGAAAATTAATCTTTACGAAATAAATTTGAAACAGAATGAATAAAACTTTTATATTGTTGAAGAAAGATGATTTTTCCGGAGTTAAAAATGGAATAAACTAACCCTAGCGAAATGGAAGATTAATGGGAAATTTTACGATTGTTCGTTGAGCTGGTTTTGAATCGAGCGTTATTTATAAACTTCACGCCAGCTGATCAGGAACTTGATATTTCCAGCGGAAATAATACTGCTTGAATTTCAATAAGGTGCACACGTTGGACGGACGACATGTTATTCGTCCCTCTAATCAATTCCTAACCATCTTTAATTTACTCCTGCATGCACATTCATTTTTCTTTGCATTGAGATTTGTTCTGAATGCAAGGAATACCAAAAATTGTTTACTCCCTTGAATACGCTACAGTTCAGAATTTGATCACAGTTCCAAATTTATATGTAGAAAAAGTGATGTATGACTAAAAAATGGTCTCATGTAGTCTGCAGGTGAAGCTTGTTGCGCATATCCAAACATTATTTTCGTCATAAGAATGGGCGTATGGAGGAAAAAGATACTTATATATAATAGATATAAAGATATATTCACATTATTCCATTTTTGTCTACCTTTCGATAGCTAATCATTGCTTTGACACCATCAATCTATCAGTCACGCATCTACAGTACAAGTTTCGAAGAAATCCCGTCTGTGAGATCAATTATTGTCAAAAACATTTATTTGTGAATGGAATTGTTGTAAAAAAATTTGGTAATACATTTCTGTCATATTAAGACATAAGAAATAACGCGTTCGAAAATGGTATTTTATGATATAATTCTGTTCATTTCTTATTGCCGTACATTTTACTCTATTTCACCAGATGTACGATAAGGCACTAAAAAATAAAGAGAATTACATAATAAAATACCATTTTCGAACACGTTCTTAAAGGAAAATATATTGAGGAAGTGGCTGGTTCCATGAAAAGACGAAGGAAAACATATAAATGTTGCCAAAATTCTGACAAGTTCATATCTGATGAACGTGCACAAACGATTACAAGACGTAATAATTGTAGATTATCAGTATAATAAATAAATGTAATTTATACAATACATCCTTTATTTATATATAAACAAATAATTAATATGTTAGTTAGCAAAAAGGACAACTTTTTTGTTTATCAATATTCCTTCCCCTGTCATCCATCTTGTGGATAACCGTGAGTAAAGCATATGTTTCGTTTTTAAACTCTTTAACTTTTTATTTTTTACAAGAATCTTTATTTACTAAACGTGTCTTAACTCAAAAATGTCCAAAGAAAGAGCATCTAAAAGAATTTTTTAATATTCCAGTCAGAACATAATAAATTTTTATGTTTAAGTAGAAATGGTAACACGGGTATCCGATTATGCACATAAGGGTTAATTCATAAATATGAAATCATTGAAATATACAATTCTCGAATAGAAAATTAACGGGAAATCGAAATATTACAATAACTAACTGTACGTTTATGTAGAATGAATTAAACATTAAAGAATCGAAGAGATTTAAACATCGTTCTAAGAATATTTTCCAATAGACTATGCACTTTTAAGCAGTTACATCAAAATTCACTTTATTAGTATCATATAACTTCATTAACTATAAAAATAAACCTTTGTTCATTTACAGTATTCATAGGTCAACTCTAAAAGATACTATTTTGCGTAAAGTTGAGTAACTTGTTCGAATCAGTGTTTAGGGTGTTTCTCAATTATTGCATTAGACACAAAGGATGCATCAAGAGTTGCTACTTACCCGTGGAGTTCGAAGTGCGTAAAGATTCAAAAAAGAGATCTCGGACACGTGTCACAAGGGGTCTGTTGAATTTTGTCGAATATTAGAGTGGCACCGTAGAACTCACCTTGCCGGAGGTCGATAAAGTTCTGAGTGGAGCTGACTCTTGGCAGGTTTCTCGATTCGCTTACGGAAGCCTCAAAAAAATCTCGGCAATCTAATTTGCTAGTAATTTACCTGCCAATATCACCAATCATTATTGTCATAGAACATTTTTTTAGAGAATGCTGTACCCTCTATAATCGAACACGAACGAAAGCTTGTGTGTTTCTTCGGTCCCTATTCGACTCTCATGAGTTACCATGAGAAATGGACATTTTTTTCGATACTTCAAAATCATAAAATTAGATCGAAACTCGCTGAATAAAGTATGAACATTTTTACAGCAGTTTAGTATAAAGAAATCAGTGTGATTATATATATCAGTGATGAATAGTTAGTTGTAAATAATAATGATAAAATACGGTTAAATCGTTCCTACGAAAATATAAGTCCTAAGATCTCTATAAATAGCAAAGATACCCATATATGTGTTTTTATAATTCGCACATCTTATTTCAGCAATCTCTATGCAAAATGTATAAATTATATTTCATTAAACTAAAATTATACTAAATTAAACAATATCAACCGTTTCTGCAATAGGTGTAAGCACTCATTGCAGAAATGATGGATACTGTTTAATCCCTTCAAATGGTTATTTGGCAAGTAAACATTACCCTCATTTGTCTTGGAAACAAGAAGCTTTATAATTACAATTATAGTGCATACTTAAAAATCAAAATACTTAAACAGGAATAATGTAATCGAGCAAGAGATAATATTTAAAGCTGATGAATCTATGCAAAAATGTCCAGCTTCGCCATCTAACAACGAAATTGAGAAATTAAACATAAATAACACAGACTTAAGATACATACCTACAAACGTTGCAGCTTACGGAAATTTTTGCTAGGATATCGGGGGTCTCAAGACCCCCATACCATTTCGGTGTAGCGTTCGATGTTACCGATAATAAAGATTGTAGACTCCTTAGTAAAAATCGGATTAATACCAGAACTATCGTAACAGTCAAAATGACTGGCTTTAATATTTTTGTTTCGTAATTATTGATATCTTAAAAGCATTGAATATTCGAAATGATCTTGAAAATAAATAGTTTTACTTGAGTACTATAATGAATGTCTGAAGAAACTGAAAATAATCTATTGTTACAATTTTTATAGGGATTACATACTAATCGTATTAAATGCTCAGTAGTTCGGGTGTTAACTGTATGTACACTTCACTTTTGCTACAAGTGTGTCATATGATTTAGAGGCAACAAGTGCATAAGGCGCGTACATTTAAGCGATGGAAGTAGTATTTATTCAATAGAATATTGTACTTCATACAATACAGTTACGATAAGGTAGCTGGAAGAACTACTCGTTTATTGAAACAGTCGAATGTTTGAGCCGGGCGATACCTGGCTCTCGTCCTCAACGGTAAAAGTACCTTACCAGGTCATGCCCTAACTTCGACCGGAAAGGGTTAAGATGAAATGCCATTAGTAGTTGCCCTTTTGAGCGACATTTTGTCGGGGCCTCTTCGGCATATCACCTCTTCTTTTCTTCGGTAGTTTGCCATTTCTGAAACCCTAAATTTCTTTAATAGTGAACAGTCAATGACACGGAAAAAGTCATTGACCTTCCGACAGCAGAATCGAGCAATTTCGTACGTTTCATCTAATCGTGCCTGGTACTGATCGCAAGCGCGATATCTAACAGAAACTTGAGAAGTTGAACTTAATATAACATAAAACTTCAAGTTTTAAGGTATCATTGTAAGGAAAATATTCCAATTTTAAATTCATTTCAAAACCAAGAGCCAAACATATTAAATCAAAATTCAATGAGTGTTAAATAAATTGTAATAGAGACAATCAATTACAGTGAATATTAAATTCAGTTTATGTTACATTAAAATTTCAAAGAAGGTTAAATAAATGGTAACAGAATATAAATTCCAATGACAAAATATGTACGAAGTTTCCCTACGTTACTTTTTCTTCTTCTGAAGGAAGGACTTTCCTTTTTGTTAAGGTTAAAATTATAACGAACGAACATGTTCATGTTTTATATGATGCATTTTATTATCGTTTCCTTTTCACATGAAAAAATTTCAATGTGACAAAATAACATATTTATGTGTAATGAATGTGAATGAATTCAAAGATAGTTAAAGTACAATCAGCGCACATACTAATCATTGCTGATGAGTTATCTTAAAATGACGCAAAAAAATCTGCGCGACACACGAAAATTACAGGAAATGATACAATAGGAATGAATTTTTCTGATTTAAGATTACCTTTGTAATTGTCTCCTGCGGGTATAAAAAGACGATCATTTCAAATAAAACAGTTTTCTAATGCAGCTCTTGCAAGATGCAATTCTTTAATTTTCATTTCTTTGTTGTCCTGGTGTTCTGCATTGTGGTACGACTTTTACGACAAATGAACTATTCATTTTATTTTATATAAATACTTATAATACAATTGTATGTATGTATTAACAATTTGTGATTACTAATCAGCTTCATACATTTACAAGCTTAAAATTAATATTTATAAAAGAATTCTAATTAAATTAACTATTTCTATGGTTGGTTATAAAATTATTAATACACATAGAAAGTTAATAAGGAAACATATAAAAGGCAAGTTTTATTTTGGAAACTTTTGTTAATTCTGTGCCGCTGTCAATAACTAATGGCACGATACATGTATTTACATATTTTATCGACAATATTGTGGGCGTTCCTTTATCAATGATACTACAATCATAATTATATATTTATAGAGTGTTGGCAACCAGAATTTTTTAATTATCATTTTTCCTCGTTTCCCACCGTATTTAAATATGACTATTTTATTTCTTCTTGTATTTTATATTGTATATTATGTCTTTTATATATTTTACTAATATATTTTACTAAACTTTACTGTTACTTACTGAAATTTTATTTCGATTGTTCAACTAATAAAAAATATTTCAACTTAACATAATGTATATAGTAGATATGAATGATGTGTACAAAAATCATTTTTATGATGTTTTATTTATTTCTTGAAGAACTTTTTTTACTTGATAGGCATCTACGATGTCGATAAATGTAGATCGTTCCATTTCTGGCCAACGTCCAGGTAATGGAGTTGCTTGTAGAGGTCGAAGACCACCCAATAACGGTGGTAATGGGTCTACTGGTGGTAATGGGTCTACTGGTGGAAATGATACCACAACTGGTGTGTTATGAGTTTTTATAAAATTATAAATTACTACAGGCTTTCCAATTAAATAATGTTGGCTCATTGCATGTTATTTTATTGCAAAATAACTATGTCTGAAAGTTAAAACTATTTCCAGTGCAAAATGTTAAAAGTTAAACTGCAATTTTTTACATACTTATTCATTATTTTCATTTTATGTTAGCCCATATGCTGACCTTAACACGTTGAATGCCGTGGGGGTCACCGGTGACCCCCAACCGAATCGGATACTATAGTACACTCAGTTAAACTATAATTATTTGAAAAGGTTTATATATTATAAATAATGCTGCCTATTGCGGTGACATTCAGCAAGATGAACAAGCAATAATAATAATGCAATTCAATCAAATGATTTAATATTATATTCTTTCGATTTGGGTATTTTGCTTTATGAAATCGTGCAGCATTCAACGTGTTAAAGTATAATAAACAATTTTTTTCCACAAATGTGTTTTTACTGGTATAATTATGTTTACTTACGTAGGTGGGACAAATTAAACAACTGGACGATCGTAACGACTCAACCATGACGAATTACTCAAGAAATAAAAAATTGAATATAAAAAACCTACATAATTACAATATTACGATATGCAATTAATGTTTGTTTGTTTATATAAAAATAAAGTAGTTACAAGTACAAAGTAAATACCATTGATCTGTATTTTCCTTTTATAAATGTTACATAGTCGTTCAAATTGATGTGTAATAATTTTAATAATTTTATAGTTATATATAATCTCTAATAATATAAATAGTTATAGTAGGGTAGAGTCGTACAGTATTTATAGTTTTTCTGCTATAAGTTGACCAATTCTTTACAGAAATGAAACTTTAAAAACGAAATTTTACTAAAAATGAGGCTTAATAAGAGAGTCAATTATTTGTTTCTAAATTTTATCATAAGAATTAATCATTCTCCCTGCAACATTGCTTGTTACAAGCATAATAATAATCAATATCCTCTTGATCATAAAGAAACCAAGGATACCATCTTTTCTGGAAAAGCAAAGGATAATAACGTATAAACTCGATACATTTATGTTTATGAAAAATGTATATATTATGTATATATAAATTTCAATATCAATGACCTTATGATTTAAATAAAATTTTGCAAATATGTTTAAATTGTTTAGAACAATGTTGGCAATGAGAATGTGAAATTTTAATAATTAGTCCATTGTTACACAAATATCTTACCATACAAAGTTGGATTATATACTATATTCATTACAAAATAGTATCAAACACTAGAATGGAACTTTTCTCAGTAAGTATACATTTTACCTTATTGTATATTATATCTACATTTCCTCTTAATATCATTGTTTAGTCATTTATTACAATGTCATTAATACAGAAGATAAATTACAAAGATTAGAAAAAATATGGTTTTCAGTATTGCGAAAAGATTTTTGTAAAATAAAGTGTTTTATTCAATGATTGCATATTTTACAATAAAGACACTTTATTGAAAGTATATAGAACGATAATTAAATTCATTTATGTCACAAGTTGTGTCGCACTTACTAAAATAATTTAGAAATAAAATATGGTAAAATTGATTCCTTTTATTACTTTTTACATCACTGAAACCAGCGAACAATTTCCAGATTCAGCTGTTGAATGTCTTAATCTATTCCTGATTATAAATTCGTGATTATATAAACAATACAAACTATATGAGTAATGTAAATATAATTTGCAAAAATATTTGTACATTTTATATAACAATTAATTATCTTAAGAAAAGACATATACATATAATTAAAAAAGTGTTGTTCATATCTTCAATTGCAATGACTTAAATTAATACAATCTTTCAAAGTACATCAAGTGAAATAATTTAGTGTATAATACATAATTAAAAAACTTTTCAATAATATTACAAAACTGATGTCTCTGATATTATTACATTTAAAATAACGTTGGACAAAATGCCTTTTTTGCAGTTACATTTCTTATTCATTTAATTTTCTCTACAATGAAACATTTACTTATTACTATTTATATGAATTATCTTATTTCATAAGTGTAAAGAATGAAATATCTACAAATAATTTACAAAGAGAGTTTAACAAATGTGTATTTAGTGTTCAATACTTTTTTTTTAATTAAGTCTTGTTGATAGTTACTCTCACCTCCTCATAACATTAACAAAAATCAATAACGATATTAAATTTCTGTTAAATTCCAATGTTCATTTTTTATGCAGATTGATTTTTATCACAGCATTTGAATTTGATTGATAAAATTTACTTATGCATGAAATGAACGCTACTCTATAAACAATCTGTTTTAACTTTTACTACTTATTTTTAAAATAAATCAAAAAATTAAAGTTAATTTAATATTCTAAAATTAAAACATTTGTACTTAACACTTTTTTAATTTTTCAAGTTGTCATTTAAAAATCATTGTATTAGATTCTGTAGATTCAGGGAACCAGAAAAAAACGACTAAGCTATGCTTTCTAATTTTTAGTGAAACTTCAAGTCTAATTTTTAATCCCTAATTACTAGCACAATTATATGAGTTATAACTTATGAAAATTACATATTACTATACTGTAGCATAATATGAAATGAATTAAATGTAAAATAACATATGCAATATTTTTATAGTTAACTAAGTCAATATCATATTTCCACTTTACTATATAGAAGTTTTGAAGTATACAAAAAGCAATTTAATGAACACTTTTTTTACATCAAACTCTTCTTTTATTTTTTCAGTAAGTGAGTAAGATCTTTGTTTTGTTTTTGAAGCATTATATCAGTTTTCTCTGCTTTATCAGTTATATTCTCAATTAAATCATTTTGCAAATCAATTTCTTCTGATAAACCTACTGCCAAACCTTTTAATCTAGCTAATGAACCACTCATCTCATCTAAATTCTTTTCTAAAATCTTACTCACATTGTTAGTCACAGAATTGTTACTTTCATCTTCATCATATATACCACGTAATTTTAATGCTGGACTTGTATTAGATATATTAGTTTGAACTTGTTCTAAGGAATTCGATAGAGCAGGAGATGTCATAGACTCAGAACTGGACGATTCTGACAATTTAGTTGATGGTATAGGTGCATCTAATGATTTACCACTCAGATAATTTTTTAAACTTCCAAATACACTTTTTATTCCTTGGATATGTTTTTGACTAAATCTTAAGGTACTATTGATATCGTCTAATCTTTTTTCTGTTCTTTCTAGTTGTTCCCTTTGCCTAATAAGTTCCTAAAATAAAGACAACAATAATTTTAATTTGCTATAATATAAAATGATCAAAGCTACTTCAAAATTACTTGGTATTGATTACCTTTCCTTATATCAAAATACTTAAGATTAATATAAACAATTTTAATACTTCTTTGAACGCTACACATTTTATTTAATATATAAATGTATTTATTAATTTTTTTAATATCATTCTGTATCAGTATTAATTAGTGCTACTAATTTGAGAATTAGATTTTAAGGATAAATTTTTCACATAAAAATTGCATTAATATACCCATTGAAATAATGCTTAAAATTACTATAATTATTATGTAAACATATATCTTTATTTGTATTATAAAGAAATAAATTGAAATATAATTGCAAATGAATAACATTTTCCAAGAAATGTAATCTAATAATACTTTGTCATTGTGTGTCATTAAATGATTAAGTTTTATATATTGGAATAAAGTTTTTTTTTAAATTACCTCTGCTGTGGCAGCTCCAATTTGCTCAGAATCCCGTAATAATGAAATAGACCTTTCTGATGATTGTATTGTACGGTCTTCTATCTCTTTTTTTCGCTGTAACAACTGTTGACGTTTATGCTCGAATTCGTTGTCGTAATTAGTATATTGATTGTAAGCTGTATGACTAATAGACCTCGGTGGAGCATTTTTTAAAAAGGTTTCATCATCGACATCATCTTCAAGAGAAAAGAATGGACTCTTTGGATCACTTAAATAATTCTGACTTGCCATTTCGTTGTATAAATCATACACTTTAAGATTTCTATACGAAAACTGTTTTAAAATTCGTCTGACACGTTCACATTCACTGACACGTAAGGTCCAATAAGGTCCTCCTGTCCTGTAAATATACGCAACTGTAGATTCGTCTGTCACAGTTGTAATGGTTATGCTTCAGCGCCGCATACGAGAAAACAAAAAATCAAACAGGAAGGAGGGAAATCTACATTTTATTTATGAATGAATTGTCAAACTATTATTCTACATTCGTTATCACATCAAATTATAATCGCTTTATATGTCAAAAATAAACTTTTTAAAACACAGAGCAAAATGTGGAATAATATTAAGGAATCATTTATCCTGCTCTCACTTTATACTATAGCAAGAGTGCCTGAATTAGTGCCCACAGGCACTCTAGTGATACTCCCCTTACAAAAAGTTACCCTCTCAAAACCTACTTTTACCTGCTGTATTAAACACTACATCGAACTGCTACATACAGAATCTCGAGCAGCTCGTTCCAGTAGAGATAGTGGACGAACGTTTCTTCCGAGTTACTAGCGTGAGGAGAGTAAGTTAGATATCCCTGTTCTAAAGTAGAAGTAGTTAAGAACCACTCACTGACTGGAGTCACTAGCTTGAGGGGTAGCAGTTAGACACCCCCGGTATTGATACTGGACGTAACTCGGGTATAGTGGCTATTTCAGCATCGCCACTTGAGACGGCCAAATAGAGAAACAAAAAGGATCTGGGGTTCGCCTGATTTTCCCGCCCAATGCAGATCTTTATTCGATGGTATATTTTGTACACACGTAAAAAATTATGATTTGAGCAAGGTTTTGGACTAATTCTTAAAGGTAGTTTACAATTGTGAAAAATACAAAATTTTTGTTCTGTTATTTCAACTTAATAAATATGGTAGTATAAAATGTATTTACTATAGAAAATTAATATGTCGATTTCCTTTTGTGGTTATAAGTCCCAAGGCATTCAGACTCTCCTGTAGCAATTATGCGATGTCCTTTCCCAATTTTCCATATGTTTCGTCAATATTATAGTCTCATGAATATATAGACACAGATTTGTGATAACGTATCTTTACATTGATTTGTAAATTGTTTCCTAAGAATGTTTAATAAAAAAAATTATATCGTACGTAAACCTTTATTCACGTCATTTACTTACAGACAGAATAAAGTATAGTGCCATTGACCACTACTATTTAAAATAGTCGTTTTGTATTTATTACATGTAAACTATTTTTAAAATATTGTTAATAAATATTTACATTTATATCTTTGTAAATTAAAAATGGTTTTATAATAAATTATATGTATACAAGACTTTAAATTATGAAAATGCTTTGTAATTGTAGATACAGAATGGAGGATAATTGATGTACCTCATAACTCAGTATATTACATGATATGCCTCATGTAATAAATGTATAATCTTGAGAGTTGACAATGATGCATTCTTCAACTGCAACCAGATCTATACCATCTATTAGTATAAGGGATTTTAATTTCAGTGCTAGAACCATGGAACATTCTAGAATATTTGCAAATAATATATCTTCTACGATAGAAGATATTAGGCCATTCATAGAACATGTACGTGTTGTAAGTGCATCTTTAATATATATTTCTTACACATGCATTGCTATATTAATGTGCTTAACAATATTTTTTTATTATTATTTTGTAGCCATCTGGGATTACATTAAGTTCATTATTAAACATTCAAAGAGTTCAAAATCCATCAAGTACAATACATTCTTCAACTGATAATTTTATAATTAACGTTGAAGATCCACCAACAAGTGGTACGCATTTACATGATAGTTCTGATCATAGCAATCATCATTACCATCAAACAAGTGCTACAGATAATTTTTTAAATAATATTCGTGAAGCTGCAAATGAAGCTGTGGGTGAAAATCGCAATAATAATACTAACATTGCCATTAATTACAATAACAACAACAGCAACAACAACAACAACAACAACAACAACAACATAGAGGAAAACTCTACGGAGACAATACAAATTAGTCCAGAAACACGTGCATTATACAAAGGATTTCAAAAATACATTTTTTTCATTTCTCTTCTTTTTGTCAAAGGTCTTTACGACCATAAGGCTAGTGTATTAAACTTTGTAGTATTACTTGTCACATTTAATCATGCTAATAATGTTGTGAAACGTGAAATTGCAAAACAGCATAATAAAAGTTGGACTTCACTTTTAGTCATCACATGTTATATTATTGCATGTATAGTTTTTATTCATTTTGAGTACGATACACATATATTCTTTTCTTATACTCAGCCTCTTACAATCTGGGAATTATTGTGGTCAATTTTGATAACAGATTTTATTCTGAAACTTATTACTATTATTTGTAAAGTGTTTTTAACATGCCTACCCTCCAGATTTCTGGCTTTCCGGAAAAAAGTAAGTTTTAATACATAATTATTTCATAAGATAAATAAATTAAAAACTGAAAGATAATTTTACTTTAGGGGAAATATTATCTTATGTTGGAAGCAACATCTCAACTGTATCGATGTGTTGTACCTGTTCAACCGTGGCTATATTATTTTTTTGAAGCGTATCAAGGTCCAGAAAAAATTATTGGAGTTTTCATCTCTGTATTATATATAGTCAGTAAAGGAACTGATTTATTATCCTGTTTAAAGTTATTTCAAACTGCTGCTTGCAAACTATTTCAAAATATGGTATGTGTTATACTCTTATTATAAGAAAAATTATATATAATAATAATAATAATAATAATAATAATAATAATAATAATAATAATAAAAAATCATTTTAATCTTTATAGAATTTAGGAGTGTCACCATCCAAAGAACAGTTGATAGCATCTGGAGGTGTTTGTGCAATTTGTCATGAAGAGTATTCAATGCCAGTGAAACTACACTGTAACCATATTTTCTGTGAAATGTGTGTTTTAACCTGGTTAAATAGAGAACGTTCATGTCCGTTATGTCGTGCAATAATCACAGATGATCCTATCTATCGAGACGGCCATACAACTTATTCTATTCAGTTATATTGACTATAAGTGTTATATCTTACATGTATTTGCTTATTTTCTGTGCTTTAAAAATTTGCATTCAACAGTAAATTTACTTGTAAAATTTCTCTTCAGTTTATAACAGTTTAGCTTTCATTCTGTTTTTCTTTATTAATGTTTGCAATAAGATGATTTTATTGTTTATAGGGTGTTCAAGAAAATAAACATTAAATTTTCAGATATCAATTAAAAAAAATTTAACTGAAATATTGTATAAATGTTATGAATTTGTAAAATATTTTGTACATAATACTTAAGCAATAGATATGTGTGTATAAGATAAAATTTATATTTTAAAATCGAATTATTTAACGTTAAGTTTTTATTTATGAAAATAATGTAATCGATTTACTAAGATAATAAACAATTACAAAATTTCTTCAATGTATTCTATTATGTATCATGCCTATGTATATTCAATAAAATTTGTGTTAATTTCATACATGATACTGAATATTAAAAGAGAAATATGAAAATTCTATTTTAAATCTGTATAAAACTGATTTAAAATGTAAATTGTTCTCATTGCTAATTACATCTTAAGATTTGGTCACCAACTATAGACTGTTATATGCACGTAATGTAACTAACATTACACTGTAGATAAGTTTTATTAATGTACAACATAAGTATTTTCTTTGAGACATTATAAAACATATTGTCATACCGGACTTTAACATTGACAATAAAGTAATTACTATGTAAGAGTATTACTTTAGTATACATAGAAAAATAGTTCAAAAAACATTGGTTTTTAAGCGTGCCTGGAAGTAGTCTCCATCTCCTTTAGTTGCTTGTTTATTTATTTCTTTGTGACGTTCTCTGTTGACTATTTCTTCTAAGACTTCTCCATCACCTTTAATTAATCTATAAAAATATAAGATTGCTTGTACATTACATAAAATTAGTATAGAAAAATAAACCTGCCTTTTATCTTTGTATTACCTATATCTTCCAGTTTCTTCATCATAAACTCTGCGTATTATATTTTGTTTTTTCTCCCATTCTTCTTTTGTCATTGGTGCCATTGCCCTTGATTTGTCTATTTCTTGTGGAACATCTTTAGAAACATTGTCTTTAGATTTCTCAGGATTGCGAGCCTTTTTTTTGGAAGATGACTTTTTTAGCTTCTTTTTCAACTTTTTCTTCATTCTTCTCTTTTTCTTACGTTTCTTCATTACTTTCTTCAACTTTTTAGCTTTTCTCTTTGCTTTTTTACGTTTCCTTTCATCCTCAGAGGTATTAGAACTGCTACTACTATCGCTACTACTGCTGCTGCTGCTGCTAGAACTACTGCTACTACTGTCGCTACTGGTACTGCTAACACTTGAAGAACTCGAAGAAGATAAAGATCTTTTCCTCTTAGATTTTTTATGAATAGAATGATCAGTCTTTTCTTCTACATCTTCTTCTTCTTTCTTCTTGTCTTTTCCTTTTGCATAAGAATCGTCTACATTTCCTTTCCTTGATTCTATTTTATCAATGTTACCACGTTTCAAATGCCTTTCTTTTGAATTACTTTCTCTTGATTGCTCACTGGAATCCTTTACACCTCTTTGATAATCATAATTCTGGCTGCTTCTACTCCTAGATCTATTATATGGTGGTCTTCTGATATTATGATTTGAAAATCTATTATTTCTCCTTTCATTATTATATTTATGATATTGCGAATTATTATGCATCCTATTCCTATCATAAAACCCGGAGTGCTTATAAGGTCGATAGTTGAACATACGTTTTCGATTATCTAAGTACCCACTACGTCCTTTATAATATCCTCTACCTTCCCTTGTATTTGTTCGATACATTCTAATTCCATTTTCATATCTTTTGTCCCACTTGTTGCTTCTTTTGTCTCTATCGTTAGAGTGTTTAGCTTCACGACTTGAGCCACTAGAAGAACTTGAACTGCTTGAGCTACTTCTATGTTTTGATTTTTTTCTTTTATCTTTGCTGCATGTGTTACGCCTGCTTTTCTTAATATCAGAATTATCGCTTTGTGAAGACACTGATTGCCTCCTATCCCTTTCTTCCTTACCCTTAACACATTGCTCTGATCGTGAATCACTTTTTTCTCTGTTACTCATTGTAACTTTTTTCTACCTTTCTAGGCTACATAAATTTAACTTAGATTTAAGTTTTATGTCTTTTATCTTGTATTTACCGCTAAGTCGCATCGATGGCTAACCTTCAATAGAACAGAAGGTTTTACATTGGAAAATATTCTTACACGGAATGAAAGATTAGAATCGTTTGTAGATAAATACGTTAACGATTAAATACCGCCAAATATTTTATAAATATTTGCACACTATCAATGTTCGGACGCATCCTACTAGTACGTAACTACAGCTAACCTTGATTTAACAAATTACAACTATCTTCTTCATCGATTTCCATTTCAAAAATTTCGTAGAAAATTAAGGCAACTTTTCATGTTGAGATACGCAAAGGATTGTAGGGTTTTTCATGATTATTTTTCCAACCGTTGGTACCTATCAATTATAAACCGCGCCTTATTATACGAATATTACACTTGAACTAAGACACTTTAATTCCTCAATATTTTAATAATTCTCTCACTTCTAATTTTATTCTATTCAATATTTAATTAATATAGTATTGATACAATTACGTAATTAAATAAATTTGTCTTCAATTTCATTATTATTTTAGTTTGAAGGCTATAAGAACTTTTGTTATATCACTAGTAAATATTCAATTGTTTTATAATGTTTGTCCAACTATAAATTTTGCGTTCAAATTTCATATAAAAATATGTTTAAATCTTTATCAAATCTGTAAATTTATTAGTGTCGCGTTTTTGCATCAATCAAGAAAAATTATGAAGCGGATTGGTGACAAATGTTATTGCAAAGATAAAGTAATTTATAAATATTTCTCACAGTACAAACGTCTAAATATTTTCTTTTTTACGAAAATTATCAATTCTTGAAGTGATTCCTGAATTGTAGATTTCTGCTAAAGTTTTATATGTAAATAATATCTTCATACTTCTAAATTGTATAAAAGATTGAAAATTAGGTGTTTGCATTCTGTATTATTAATAATAAAAATTAATCAAATCACATTCATATATGAGACAGTTTTTACTGTTAGATCATACGAAGCTAAGAAGAAATAAGGGAATAAAAAATATGTAAAATGACTGTAGTATAGTATACATATAATATCTATATTGAACTTTGTTACCACTGTATCAGCATTCGATATCTGGAATGGGTTCTATTTACTGATTCACACTAAAAGAATATCATTTATTTTAAAGTCGCAAGAGTCGACTACTGAAAGATCACTATATAAAATTAAAAATAACTTGTCCGGACGGCAGTTGAGTTTGTTGGCCTCTGTAGACTTTTTCCGAATTTTATTTATAAAGACGAATTCTATCATGCTTTATGAGAGTCATTTAACTTTATTTCTCATACTTATAGATCATTTACACCTTTGAAGTACTTAATATTAAAAAGGTAGGAATACATACAACATTAGCAGTTAGTACTTTTGGACTTTTCTTAAATTTACAATTATCATTGGAAAAATGAGAACTCAGGAATTAAATAGAAAGAAATTGAACAAACGTACTTGATGATGTTAAACAAGATAAAAACGTGAATAACTCGATAATAAATCGAAAAATAACAATTCTTCAATTATTATATATTTAATAAATACTTTTATTAGTTTCGGATTTATTATTAAAAAATCAAAAGGGTAAATACTAAATGATATGATACGATATGAATAGTTTTTTAATTATTAAAAACAATGTAAAGTTACTTAAATAGTAATAATTGAATAATTTAATAATTAAATAATTTAATTTATATTAAAACTTGTTTAAATCAAATCAATTTGTTGGAATATTTCTACAGTTCCAATACAGCCGCACATGAAAGCGAGCATATTGTTATTTTTAGATACCGTTACTAAGTAGTATATTTTATTCTTACATCGAGTAAGTAAGAGCAGTATGTTTTACTCTTACTCTTACATTACATGATAGATAATTTAATGCCAAATTTTTTATTTTATTTCAATTTTCCTGAATCAGTCTGTAAAAATCTACATTTACATTTATATCTTGATAATTAAATTGTTAAATAATCCATATACGTTATTTGAAATAACATGTAGCTATTATCACCGGTAACAAAATATACAGAGCTGGACCCTGCGCTATGCACCGAATTGCGAAAAATTGCAGACGCAATCCTCGTTCCTGGAAAAGGGTTAATGGCTTGTGATGAATCTCCGACAAGCTTAGACGAACGATTCGATGAGCTCGGTATCGGAAATACAGAATCTCAAAGAAGAGATTATCGGCAAATGTTGTTTACCGCTGATCAGGTCATTACACAACACAATACCCCACGAATTAGTGTACGCACTGCGGCTTAAATTATAAACATATACATATGTATATGGTATCAGTTAAGAAAGTCTGCGTACATTTGTCAAATTCCAAATAGTTGAATGGTAAAGACGGAAACTATAGACATGTTGTACGGATGGCTGTACACACGCCTTGTACGGATAAATTCTTTATTCAAAAGTATATAGTTTTGTTCTTTACAAAACAGCAGTAGTCACTAAGACAATTCCAAAATATGTATAATGGTCGATAAAAGACTATATGGAAAATATTTTTGTAAGAATTATATTTCATTAAAATTTTGTAAACATCGATATCTGTTACTTCAGTATGTTTTTTTACGATTACAGTTGTGATTAGTGACGTTATAAATTGTTTGAGTACACGTTGTTAGAGCTATATATGGGCTTGGTAACAGGAACGTGATTTCTTGGAATTCTATTTGGCGTACACTAATTCAAGGGCTAATGTACTCGTAAATAGTCATGTTTGTTATTTTGTAAATAGAAGGAATGTAACAGAACGAAGCTGGTAATTTTAGTCAAGAAGGGTTCAGTCGGTAAAGCGTCGTATAGTGAATCACGAAAGCATTTCGACAGTGAAGTACTTTCGACTTCTGAGATACTTTGACGTAATATTTATTAATAATGAAAGGAATGATGGAATATTCTTAACACGCGTGAAATAATTATACAATATTAACGATTCAATGAAATTGTATAAAATCATTCGTATTTTTAACATTTTGTAATATTATATCTATTATACGCTTCGCCCGGATAAATATAATTGTTTTGTCTATACCGTTTTTAGGTTTTTCCTTTGAAACAAAGTCGAAATTCGGCATACTTAATGACCTATACATAGTACATATTAATACAGACCACTACCTAACTTGTATATCAAATTTTATAACAATCTGTCATCTAGTGTTTGCATAATTTAGCAAAAAAATAACTATTAAATGTTTTTAACCTAAATATAATTGTTGGAGGAGATATTCTTCACTCGGAATATGAATTTCAAGAGGATTGCAACCTGAACTTTCTTTCTTAATTGAGCATAGCAAGAATTTGGTTATTATGATTACCTACTTTTTCTCGCATTGAGAAATCAGGTGTTTTTATACCCTAAAAATGGCCTGGATAAAATTAAATGTGTTTATATACTTATAGTTCCGGATCAAATATTTCTGAAATATTTATCGCATAATATTTCTAAATATATTGACGAACATAATGTTTTTTATATTGTACAATTCTCTAGATTAAATAATCAAGTTATGCAGATTTACAAACAACGATGAAAAATACATTGAAAGAGATGATTTTGAGTTTATCCCCTTCATAATTAATAGATTGTGAATCCTTTCCAAGTTTTATGTTCGACATCGAAGTCAATTTAAAACAGAAAATAAATGATTTAATAGTTAAAAGTTCGATAAATAACTGTTATTTATAAAGATTAACAGTTTCGTTCGGCCCATGATTAAAAATCAGCGTAACGCAGAATGCAAAAGAAATCCGATATCCCCATGTTTGCACATTTTTATCACAGTCTCAGCTAACAAGATACATAAGCGGCGTTGTTCTACATCCCGAGACAGTTTACCAAAAAACAACGGATGGCCTGAATTTCGTTGAACTGTTGCGACAAAGGAACATTCTATCTGGCGTCAAAGTCGATAAAGGGTTGATCGACCTCTTCGGTGCAAAGAATGAAAAAATCACCGAAGGTCTAGACAGCTTGCAAGAGAGATGCATACAATACAAACGAGACGGTTGTCACTTCGCGAAATGGAGGTGCACGTACACGATCTCGGAGACGACGCCAAGTCAGTTGGCTATGATTACCAATGCGAATGTTCTCGCAAGGTTCGATTCAGAAAATATAGAGTCTCAAATCATGTTCGATAATTTAAAGTAGAAAATACCTGTAGGCTGTTTCTAAGAATGTCGAACATATTTTCAGGGTAGGTTCCACACGTTAGAAGTAGTAGTCATCGTATGTGTACTTTGCTCTGAATAGTCTCAGGAGGTTTTATAGTAAATTATAGATAATGTGAAAAAAATGTTTATGATCATGTAGTATTTATTATATGCGTAATTGATTATTGTAAAATGCGTAGGCTAGATGGATCGACGAAAGTCGATCAAATTTATTTTGAGTTTATATATTTACATGAATTTCGTTTTTGTGGAAAGTGATGAAAAAAAGTTTATATATGGGAATTTTTATCGATTAGTATGTAAATGATATATTCTTTAGTACGTGTAACTTAAAAACCTTTGTGGAAACGAATCATGTGGAAAATGCGGATATGTATGTATGTTAAATAGTCTGATATTTGACTGCGCTAATAATGTCAGAAGGATCTTCATATTGTTTCTAACCAGAATAAATTTATGTAGAAAGTTATTCCCGTATATTATCTATAATGCTTAGGACCAAAGATAACGCTGGCTAAAAGAAAATTTCAACGTGGTTGTCGCGAAATCATTCTTCTACTAAATCTTCCATTAAAAAATAATATTCATAAACTATAAATATATTTAATGCATTTTGCGTATTTCTATAGAATTTAATAAAAAAATTAATATTTTATTTAAAAAAATATTTATAAACCATATATTGAAAAATAAAATTGTTATTGGTGTTTTCTTTTTAATTTATGATAAAGTGTTGACTGAACGCTATTAAGTAGATGAAGGCTTTGATATAGACAGTTCTAATGTTTCCTCAATACACAATTGTTGTATTATATACACACTATATATTAATATACACTATAAGAATATTACATATATTATCTCCTACGAAATTGAATTTTTATTTTAGTAACTGAGGCTATTCAAGTGAATATAACTGTACAGTATATACTATACATATTTTGTATGCCAATTAGTTATACGTAATCTTATATGTATTCAAGAAAACTCTAGTCGTCGGTAGACTTATTTTTACAATAGGTCACTATTTGTGCATAAAGTATATAAAGATCATATCTGAATTATTCACACTCAGTGGAGAAATTGCAAGCTGACACCAAATTATTTTTATTTTTCATATGTAGAATAATAAAATAGGTATTGGTATTTTATTATTCTAATAAAAAATTCTAATAATGGTATTTTAGGATACGTATATTCATATAAGTGTCTATAATATCGGATAAAAAATGCAAACATTATTAGTCAAGTTTCACACTATTTATTATTATTTTCTCTATTATTTATTGGACGTCTTAATTATATTTATAACCATTTTCTGTAGTCTTTGTTATTAATCCGCTTCGTTTTTACATAAAATCATTATAATTGCAGTCAAATACTTTATCTTTATAGATTAGTTAATAGTGCAAATTGATGGATATTCAATCTATGTAACACTGATTACGTTACGTAATACCCCAAAGGTTTTACATAATCTACATAAGCGTTAACAGGACAGCCATTTCTCTCGTTATGCGATTCATCGTTCGTAGTAAGTTGTGTCACTATGGAAAGAAACGAAATGAATGAATCATGCGGATGATATATCTAGGAATTACAGTTGCATTATCAGTGTTCATTGTGACGATTGATTAATAGTAGACAGAGAATCTTTATGCAAAAAAAAATTGTTATAAACTAACTTAAAATTTCAAGATGAATAGAAATTGATTTCTTTCATTACAAATACTATTAGGTATCTTCCTATAAAAATGCAAATACTAATACAAATTTTTAAAAATTTGTTTATTTGATTGATTTTTAAACTTTACACACACATACTATTAATGTATAAAGTTCACAATTTAATTATTAGTTATCGTTTAGCCACTCAAACAATTTTTTTCATTGCATTTTATACGATGATGTGATCACACTCTCTGTGTTAGCGGCATCTTTGAAGAATGTCTTATCAGAGATTAACAACCGATCGCGTTATTGAATAGTGAAAGTGCAGCTTAAAAGATTTTATGGTACTTGCCATTATGAACGTTACACGGATATTATTAATTTTATATATTTGATAGAAAAATTATTATACGTAGTTTACTTGTCTTCGATTTATTGACTGCCTTTGTCTAATTGACTTTTTTTTTCTTAAGATTTTCCAGTATATGTCAGAGTGTTCGATTAGTACCCATTATAGAACCGGAAATATTAAATGATGGTGACTACGGAATAAATAAAACGTTAGAAGTACACGAAGAAGTTATGTCTATTTTATTTCGTACTCTAAATGAGCATCATGTATATCTTGAAGGCGCAATCTTAAAACCAGCGATGATTTTATCGGGAATCAAGAATGCTGCCAATTGCACGTCACAAGTAAGGGAATGGGACGCATTAGTTAAACTGTATTTTAATCCTTTTAAATTTGATAGATGCTGTAATCTACACCTTTCCTTTTTTTATCGCTCTGAAGAAATTCACTAGCTCTAATTATTTTTATCTTAAAATGAGAATTATAAAACTGTTTCAGGAATACTGGGCACTAATAGCACTCTTTTATATTTGTTCTAAATAAATTTAATGTTTACTTAATTAATTATACTTAATTTTGTAATCGATTATTTAATTATTAATTCATGATATAATAATATTCGTTCAAATAATTCGGAGCAAGTAATTCTGAAAATATTGAACATTTCAAATGAAAATCTTTCGAATGCAAAGGGATAATGAGTAAGAATGTGAGGATGAGCGCGAGCGAAGGAACAAGGAAAGGGGTCATAAAAGAGAAAACTGTAGGAAGGGATATGTCCAAATATTTGGTTAAGGGTGTGAGTGAGAAGAATGCCTGTTGAGGAGAAAATAATTTTATAAACAGAATCGTGAGTTAGCAATCGAGGCAGAAAGTTATATTAAGTTGTTTAAATCGAATCCAGTTTTACACTTCTGTTCTTTTTTTAATTCTAATAAATACTGTTTCCTATTTCCTGTTACTTCAGTTGTCTCACGTCGTTACCCAAATATTTCATTAGGTTATTTCCTTATATATTTTCGTATAATATTAACCCTTTCCACTCGAAAATATTTCTCGTTATAAATATTTATTGTTTTTTTTTATGAAAAAGGACAGACTTAGTTATTTGAATGTTTCATATAGACCGTTTATTTTGAAAGTGGTGTAAGTCCATTTGCAGCCCGTAAGTATACATCAGTTTAGTAAAATGTGCCTAAAACAAATTTATATAAACAAATTACATATTGATAAAACAGTAGAAACATTGCCAGACTTCATATAATTTGCCTAAATTTTTTAATTAACAGATATGTTAACCTTTAATTTTCTCGAAACAAGAGAAAATGGACTTACACCACTTT